GTCATATGAGAGCGGATATCAGATAACCCTGGATTAGCCTGAACAACACCATGTTTTATCCTTACAATAGTAAAGAAAAGCTACGGGCTTCTCGTATGAGCTGGTAGGTGAGCTGGTAGCTTTTCTTTACTATTGTAAGGATAAAACATGGTGTTGTTCAGGCCAATCCAGGGTTATCTGATATCCGCTCTCATATGACCCGAACAATAGTAGGTTTTATCCTTACAATAGGACTCTATCAAAATGGACCCTCCGGCCAGATTGGTCATCCCCATTTATTTCTTTTTTATTTATAGATGTAATACATAATAAAAATAAACAATTAAGGTTTTCAATAACATTTGATAATAAATATCGAAAAAGTAGTTTAATATCATTGCCAAATTTATTGACTGTTACCTGTTGTAATCGAGGACAAAAAATAATCAAAGGTTTTATTTATTTTAATCTAAATTGATATGAAATTATCATATATTGAATATTGTTTGTTTGAAATACTAATCGAAAGATATCACTTTGTTGAATTGATACTACATAGTCAAATTGATCGATAGATGTATCAAATTTATTAACGAAGTTGAATATAATTACATATGTGTAAAACGAAAATAATATGAAGAATGAATAAACAAACAATTAAGATGAGGAATATATGATAAAAGATTATTTTTTACTGTGAACATGATCTTCACAATTAGTTATTGCAGAAGATAGATAAGGTAAGATGAGTAGGTATTTAAGAATAATCTCAAGATATATTGATTGAATCTTATGAAGAATAAGTGTTTCAAAGTTGTGTTAATTTTAATTCTATAGAAATTGGTTAAAAAAATACGATCAATGATTTAATGGATTTAAAAAAAAAAGCGATTTAATTTGATGTTGATTATGTATGATAATATGTGTATAATAACGTTGAAAAGTTGATTTTGATATGAATAAAAGTTTTATTTTTGATTCGAAGAGTTGAATGAGTAAGAAGATTAAAATTGAAAACTAAAAATATCTTCTATTTTGACTGACCTCTTCAAATCAACGGTTACTTTCTTTTTCTTGTTGCCATCAGCAGTACTAGTTTGTCGTTTTATCTATTCCATAGTAAAATGAAAACACACGTAGTACATTATGAAGAGTCGTGAGTTTTAACACGAACAGAACTCATAATTACTTTATCCTACCGAAATATCAAGTTAAACTGATGAGCTCTTAATGAGATCGTAGATGCTACAAAAATAGTAAAAAACTGCTGTATTCAATTTGATAATGCTTCCAGAAAAAATCAGATATCCTGGAAAAAAACAATACTATTTCAAACGGCTTCTGTAGATATTAATCAAACTCTTGTCACTATAATATATGCAAAAAAATAACCAAATTGAAAGTCTTCGATTGAGCATACAGTAAAATTTCAACTAGTGAGTACCATCTTAGCATGAAAGGTTTTCAAATATCCAAAGGAACGATTTTTGCTAGAAATGAATCTCTCTAAACTGAACAATTCCTTATACCGAAAACCAAATGCGTTGTTTTCTTCGACATAATCTCTATTGTTTTTTATTACTATTTAACTCATATAATCTAGATCGTTCATAGTTGCGTTGCAATCGTTTGTTTGACTTGTTTGAAAACAGACGAATTCTGTGCATTTCTTCAAAACAGTTCATTTATAGTTGTTCAAAAACTTTGATGACTATGAAAACGACTAAGCTACGTTATTTTATAGCTCTTCTGTCGTTAAAACTAGATTTTTCCTTTCTTTTTGTAAGTTTCTCAGAGCAAGTGTTTATGAAGTCATAATAAAAGATATGAATGATCTAAAGCAAATAAAAATGAGAGTTTCGAAAAAGATCGATAGAAAACTGCTACATATTGGTTTTTGTGTAAAAAAAAGTCTATTTCTGTGTCGTAAGCAAAAGTACTGTTATTTTTCATTTCGAAAGTTGAAGAACTTAGTTTTTAAAAATAAAAAATTTCTAATGCGTACTCTGTTCCTTTAAAACAGAAGAATATTCCGGATTGGCATTGATCAATAGTTGCATTATATGTATTTATACAATAACTATGTCCTTTCAAAACGCTCTGAACATTTGTTAGTTCAAAATAAATTTTGATTCGGTTCGGTTCCAAAAAAATACGAACCGATCCCATCCCTGGTCAACATTCTTCGTTACTACTTGAGTAACCACATGTACTCTGTTTTTCTCTAATACGCTCAGTTTTTGATGACGTTTCAGCAATCGAGTGAATAGGAAACCTTGTTAAGAGTGTTAGTCATAAATATATAAAAAAAATTCATTATCGAGCATATTATTCGAATTCTATTGCATTCATAAAGACAACGGACACAATTTGCTTTTACCAAACAAAGATGTATCAAGCAAAATGAAAGTATAATTTATTAGAATTAAGACTACCGCGAAAGATAAAATCAGTTATATTTATTTTTTATTACCATACTAATTTACATGAAATACCTATATAATGATTAAGAATAATATGTGTGTGTGTGGCTGTGGAGAGTGACTGTGAAGAGAAAATTCACACACTCACATTCACATCGACACCCGTACCCATACTCACACCACGCATGGATACCCACCACATCCACACTGTGCATATCCAAATGCACATCAAATCTAAACCAAATGATACAAAATCTCAAGGCTTAGGGTTTATTGTATCTCTATGCTAGTTTCACATGTTGTCCCATAAAGAACGGCGTTGATAAACTTTTCTATTATAATTAAAGTTGTTATTGTTTTTGAAGAATCATTTCAGTTACGCGTCGAACTAGTTCTGCTACTTTCTGTCGGTGTTCACTTTTGGAGAAATTATGTAACGATTGTTCATGATTGTCGATGTCCACAATACTTTTAGAATGAACAATTACATGGAACATAAGAATATCAGTTGCTTTGTCCTTGCCACAGTATCCATAGCCAGTAGTACTTACGTATATACCACAGTCATTTACTAAACGTTCACATATTTGAGTGTAGACACGAAACATTTGGAGATTGTTCAGTTGGCCCTCCATTTCAAAGTCAGCCATGCGCAAAGTAATCTTAGTTTGATAGGCTGACATACCAAAGATGATCAAGGATTCAGACGGTGATCGTCCACTTCGACGAATGTTCCAATCATGTTGCTTATGGGTACCGTCTGTCATAATGAACATATCACCTGCATAGATTCCATTATTATAGGAGAATTCAGCTGCTTCCAGAGCTGTCATGGTCGAGTAGGTTAGAAACATACGTTGCCAGTCAGTAATTGAATTGTGTAGGTAGGCAGATGAAGATGAAGCCCACTAAAAACAGTCAAAACGTAGTACGTGCATGTAGGAATAGATATGACAAGTTTAAAATAAATTGAATTCCACTCAGAATACTACTATATAACGCTTTCATTCATTTTCTACCTTATTGGTTACTCAAAAGGAAAACGTACAGCTTCGAAAGTCACAAAAATGAATCTGTTTTTCAGTGGTGGCAAGGCATCCAAGTTTGATAATAAAAAATGATATATCAGTTGTTTCAGAGGAAACATGATGCGTTGACATTCCAATCCAAAAAATGTGCTGTGATTTCGTCTACTTAAGATTTAATTTAGATTTTAGCTGCAAGTGAATGGTTTTATATGTCATCGAAACAAGATGGGGATAAAGAACGAAAAATATTGAAATTAAAAAAACGTTCTTTACATCTCGAACTAATCTACAACAAATACGAAGTAATTTTGGATGATAAAAGGTGTTTCTGTTGATTTCGTGGATAAAAGATAAAAGCTTCAAAATGTGTTGAAATCCTTCCCAAATAAAAACCGGAGTGAATGTAGATATTAGAGAGACTGCTTACTGAAAAAAAATACCATACGAAGTCATCGAGGGTTTCGTACTTGCTACGCAATCTAAAAATGTTTTTGAAAATGATACGGAACCTAAAAAGGTCTCGATTTTTGCAACAAAAATGGTTCAGTGTTGTACCTTTTTTCAGTATTGAGATATTACCAGATTACGACATATCCTCCTTTCATGAAATGGAAATTTCAATTATTTTTGAATAGAACTTTCGACCTAAAATAAGTTAAACTTATGAGTCAGCAGTATTACTTGTTCCACATAAATTGCATTTTCTGTGCCACATAGATTAACGGATATGGGAAAAAATTTGCCCGCAAGCATAAACCCGCAGACGCCGTGATCAGCACCGATACCACTTGAATATTTTTGTTCCTTGATAAATTCTTCGACAGTGGCCGATATGGGCAGTCGATCATCAATCAATCTCAATGTCATGTACTCGCGCAGATATGTGATACGCTCTTCTTTCTCTCGTTGAAAATCATAGATAATGCCGTGCTGATTATAAGTCATGCATGCACTGCCACCTTTTCCATCCGAGTTCAATTTGACAAAAGCAGCAAGGCCATATTGTTCGTGAAGACGATCAACGGCTTCAATAATTGCTCGAGCAAAAATCTGAACAGTGCAGATAAAATTCAGTACACAGCAATAAGGAAACATACTTGACTATTTCATAAATTTTGAGCTTAGCATTTGCTTAGACCTAGTTTCCATAGGAATTTATCACATGATTATCGGAAAAAAGGTTTTGTGAGAAGTTTTCATATCCTCGCCAGAGGTCTGGAAAAGTTGAAAAGTTTTTCCGTTTCAATTAAAAGATATACATGCTATTCTGTGTATCCAAGGAGTTGAAAAATCAAAAACGATTCATGACTTTGATGAATTTTATGTCAAAAATGTGAAAAAAATGATATTTCGAACGATGAAATGAATTTTAATTTCATTAATTGAAACATATTTTAACTATTTAAATCGAAATAATGAGTAGCACATGAAGAATTATTCTGTTTGTATTTTCGAAATTTCTTCTCTATTATCCCCTTGATTGCAACACGCATTTTATCAAAAGACGGCGCTTGAGATGCTCTATGAAGATACATATATATGACTGACGAGGGAACCGTTCGAAGTGATTCAAAGCTTTTAAGCCGATATTTTGCCGATAAGTAGAGTCCAATGAGA